GGTGGTGGCCGAGGGAACAGCTAATAAGCCTAAATCCAAAGTTCTAGACCCAACTGCGGTTTCTATATAAATATATGTATACGTATAAGATTATATTTATATATCTAAAGGTGCCTCTGAGGATCTCACAATGAAAAACCATCCGGTTCCTGCCTGCAAAGGGAGTGTTTTATACACAGGTGTGCAGCGCTCCTGGGCAGGTCACGACGTGTCACTCCGATCCGGGCGCAGCGCGAGGGCCAAGCCTGACCTCCCCAAAAGGAGCGAGTGGCCCAGTGGCCCCTGGGCTCTGCACCAGGCTGCTCGCCTGCAAGAAGAGACGGCCCACAGGCCCTGCCCCGGCTCCTCTGGCAGCGGGTTAAACCCCAAGGAGGACTTCTGTTCAGGTATGTTTTGTTGACTAATATCTTCTGCGTGTCTCCTGTGTTCCCTCTGCAAGGAGGTTTCTGGGGAATGGGATAAAGACAAAGAGCGTGCTCAACCGGGTAACAGTGTCGTGGGTGATGCGAAACAAAAGCTTGGCTGTAGTTTCTTTATTGCAAGTTTTTAGTGGTTATCTGTCAGGAAAGGCTGAGGGAGCTGGGTCTCTTTAGCTTGGAGAAGAGGAGACTGAGGGGAGACCTAATTAATGTTTATAAATATGTTAAGGGCGAATGTCATGAGGATGGAGCCAGGCTCTTCTCAGTGATGCCCAATGGTAGGAACAAGGGCAATGGGTATAAACTGGACCACAGGAGGTTCCGCTTAAACCTCAGAAGGAACTTCTTTACAGTGAGGGTGACAGAGCACTGGAACAGGCTGCCCAGGGAGGTTGTGGAGTCTCCTTCTCTGGAGACATTCAAAACCTGCCTGGACGCTTTCCTGTGTGATCTCATTTAGGTTCCTGCTCTGGCAGGGGGATTGGACTAGGTGATCTTCCAAGGTCCCTTCCAATCCATAACATTCTGTGTGAATCTCCAATTTGTAATTCAGTTGAAGAAAAGACACTACCAGATAGTCTATGTTTGGGATTTTACTTGTAGAGCACCCCAAAGTGGTCTCTCCATGTTTCTAAGAGCGTTGACTCCCCTGTCAGGTAAACTTCCTGCAGCTTTCCAAAATGCTGGGCTGACAGTGAGTGGGACCGGCACTTGCCTTCCTGGCAGTTCCTGCCTTGCCCTGCACACCTGGGCACTGAGAGCAAAACTGGCCCAGTCTAGCTCCTCAGAGAGATGCCTGAGTACAGAAGTGGACAGCAGAATCCTTTATCACCTAGGTAGGGAGGAGGGCCAAGAATTGAGAATGATTTCTATTAAATTATAGTAGTAACTTTTTTTAAGAGGGTACATAATGAAACAAGTGCTAACATTAAGGATGTTTTGCAGATGATGCCACTGATTTTTAGCACACAGGTTGGTGAATGAACCCAAACCAGCAAAAAGAAGCATGCACTTTGAAGGTCTAAACATGATGCTATGACTGATACAGTTTAGAGTGCTTGGGATAATTTATGAGTCAACTAGCCCTTCAGTTTGTGCTTAGTGTTGAGCACACATAGTCCAATTTACTTGCATGCCTAAAATTTAAGGATGTGTTGTTGGATCATGGCGTTATTACCTCTATAGTTCAATTTCTGCACAAAACCCCAAGCGCTACTTCCATAATTCTTTGTAGGGATTTATGAAATTTAATATTGGTACAATGCCTTGAAAATGGTAAAGCTTTATTTGTCTATAAATTTTATTGTCCTTGCATTGAGTATTGTACAGGCTTTTGTGATAGATTAAAAATGCTGAGGACTGGGATGTTGGAAGTTTCAGTGTTTATAAAGCAAGTTTTGGTTACATACTTTGGCACAGTCCTGCTGGGCTAGTGACACGGTTACTTCTCTCATTGCATCACTGCTAGAATGACGTTGTAGTGATGAGACTCCCAAAAATATGTTATTGCTTCTAATGTTTGAAATAAAGCCAAGTAGGTTTCACTTCTCTCAGAAACTGTGTTAAAGTATTGCTGGGGTAGGGGGTTTTTTGTTGTTGTTGTTGTTTTAGTGCCTACTTACGTCCTGCCCAAATGAAGACAAGGGCTGTGCTCTACAAAGATGAATGGATGTGACATATGCTCTATTTATAAACACTTTTGCAGGCTGTCAGCTGAGTTTCCATGGCTGAAGAGAAGTATGTTAATTTTAAATCTCATATGGCATGGTATAAACCCACAGTGGAAGCTAGGCATAAGTGGAATTGTTTGGGTAAAAGAACGCTTTCCACACTGATCAAGAAAACTGTATTTAGAATCTGTAGTATTGAGAAGAGTGACTGAAGAGAGGGTGAACATGCCTTAAAAAGCTAGGGCCTGATTCTGCACAACTGTGCCTGGATAAAGAATCCTTGCTCTTATAACTGGTCTCATGGATGACGGTGAAATTATTTATGTGGGTTATGAACTATTTGTATGACAAAGAATGTGTAAGATTTGGGTCTTAACAGTGCAGTAAAGCTTTCCTAGGACAAGTTTTTCCAGAAGCTTTTATTTTGCAATAGTTAGTCGGATTAACTTTTCCTCTCCTCTTTCTGAGTACCATGAAACAGAAGCTCCCTTCTTTGACGATGTATTCTCTGTTGATCCAAACAGAGATGTGTGAAGTTATCAGTTCTCCAAACTCTATTTACAAGATGGGATCTGAATCCAGGATAAGCAACATACGCTTCCTATTTAATACTGAGTGTCTGAACAGCATGCAGTGCTGTGCTCAGCAAACTCTTCATGGGCCACTGAAGTACAGTCACATCTGTAGCAAGCACAGCCAGGTGGCCAAGTGTCTGTTGTGTATGTTTAAGTTTTCTAGAAATAAAATTCTCAACAATGTTGTTTTTCAAAAAACGAAAGGCTTTGTCCAAAATTTCATCTCAGTATGTTTGAAGTACCTTATTTTAATAATGCTGAAACTAGTTCTTCTCATAAAACACTTCAGCATGGTTGTGGACCAATTATTTAGAACAATTTGTATTGAATATTTTTGGAAAATCAGGATTCATGAGAACTTGTTGCAAATTTATTGATTTACTGCCGTGCTTCAATAGAAGAGTATTCTAAAAGAAAAAATTCAATTACTTTTCAAGTCTGGAAGTATGACTGAAATACTGAACTTGAAAATTTTTTGCCTGTGTAGCAACATGCATCTCTGGTACCTCTGCATATGGAAAACTCTTCTGATTAGCATTGGAGATCTGACCAGGTTGGAATTTTATTTGGTTTATGACCTTATTTTATTTTCCCATTTTAGTTTTAGTGGTTACCAATTAAAAAAAACCCACCATGTATGTATAATGGATTTAGATGCAAATGAATTAATCAATCTTGTCTCACAACGTCTTAGGGGGAAATAAAATAAAAGTAAATTTGCTCGGAAATCCTGCCATCTTGGCATTAAAACTCATCTTAATTTTTAAGGGAGTTATCCTCAAAAGTACTGACTATGTTTTATAAGCAGAAGTCAAAAGTGTGAAGGGTAATAAACAAGAATGTGAAAGTAGGTTTCCAGGTCCATATTTAGAGTCCTAAATAAGTGACCTGGTTTTTCAGAGGTGCTGAGCAGCTAGCCATGTGTGTGAATTCCACCGGGTTCCCATCTCCTCAGCGCTTCCAGACACAGACCTGTTACTCAGGATCAGCAATGCAAAATTTTTAACAGCTTTTTCTGTACGTCTGAAGTTGATCAGTTTTATTAAGTTGGGTGCCTAAAGTACTGTTCTAGGACATCCCCATTTTGCCTCTGTCACCTTCCTTATTTAAGTTTTGGCAGAGGAAAGCCTGGCGTACGTAGTGAGGTCACTGAGGGACCTGAGACGTTGGCTGGCTGCCTTGTTGCACTCTCACTCGGCTGTGAACTGACTGTTTTGTGTTGCAAAGTTCAGTGAGTATTTATATAACAGAAACCGCGGTTCGACTGCAGGTTTGGCAAATCCTGTTCTCAGACAGAAGGTTTTTGCTATTTTTTTCACCTCTTTTTAGACAATAATGATCCGTCTCTGGAAACACTGGCAGATGTCTTTTTGTGTCAAAAAGCAGAAACAGTATTTAAACATGAGTCCGAGCTTGGATAGCAAAATATTTTGTTAATTTATCCTACTCCGTATTTTCACTATATCTATTTCTCTTCCGCCTGTTATTGTGGTTTTATTATCTGACGTGTAGGTAGTTTTCTGTGGTTTTGCAGCATACAGAACAAAAATTGGTCATATTAGTACATAGTTTATCTGTGATGCCCGTTGAGGCAATATGTTAATGGTCAGATCATCAGCTAGCATAGTCAAAAAAAAAGGGGGAATTTTTAAAATAGAACTATACTAATTTCTGGATCCCTGTCTTCCATTTATATGCTAGTCCGTTGTTCCTTTCTTTTTCTTCACATATATTGCCACAAAATACCAGGGATGATATCTGTCTTAGTTGTTTTTTTCACGTAAAAGCTGTAAACAGCATATATTCATAAATGGCAGAGACAAAGCTCTCCCTTGTTTTTTTTTTTTCTTAGTATTAGTAATGTAAAACTACCTCTGGGGATGTTACAACTAAAGTCACAGTAAATCTACTTTTCTTCTCCACATCTTCCCCAATTACATGTTCCCATTGAGCTAATTTGTGTGTGAAACAAACAAAATGGCAATGTTATGTGCAAGAATTTGTTGTTATTGCTTAACTTTTATTTGGTTTGAGTTCTGTGACTTGGGAACCAGCAATCTAAGCTGTAACATCAAAATGCTAAAGTGTTTCTGCTTTTATTTTTGCAAATTATAGCAGTAATATTCCAAGCTAGTAAAATTCCTGCGATAGTGTATCCGAGTGCAGAAACTTGCTAATACTATGTCTTAGCCTTCGCTTTTGATAGGATAGAATTATGATTATAAATTTTCATGTAGTAGTTTTTGTGTGTTGTGTAACGCTTACTAGGATGGTGTGAGCGAAAGCTGGATGCAGTTAAATGTTTTGTAAGCCAGTGACGTTACTCAGAAATTATACAATTTTCCAGAATCTTATTCTGTTTGTGAAAATTATATTTTAAAAATTGTAGTTTCTGTTTTAGAATTAAAAGTTTTTCTATGAAGTGCAAATGGGGTACAAGTTGTTATTTTAATTTAAAGTATTATGAGAAAAATGTTATTTTTTACGAGTCAGCTTGTGTTATCAGTGTTACATCTTTGCTGGCAGTTATGAACTACTGGGTGGGTTTTTTCAGGTTTTGTCTGAAGGATTCCGTTTTGTAGCTAAGCCAATCTGAAACATCTGATTGCAGGACTGGTGGTGAGTTGTATTGAACTCTACAAATAATACATAAAATTGTGGCAATAGTAGAAGCTCAGGCAAAATCCAGTGGATTTACATTAGACTTTTAAATAAATTCTCT